AAGCACAGCACTGAGCATCTAAAAAGCCGCTTCTGCATGAGTTTGATTCCCGCCTGCCCCAGAGGTGACCCCATGGTGTGGCAGACCTCTCCTGACCCACCTGCTGCTCCCCTCAGCAGTGGACTTCATCGACCTGCCTGTTCTGTTCCCCACTCTCTCTGGTGAAGCCTCTCACCACCCCTGAGCCTCTGGCCTGTACCCCAGTTCTGTATGCACAAATAAATAAATAAATCTTTAAAAAAAAGTTTCTATCAAAACTGTTGAATATTAAATCAACATTATTGAACATTAAAAAATATCATCCCGCTCTTGTTTCTCCTCCATAGACAGGGACCCCGAGAACTTGGCTATTCTTCACACACTCCTCCTGTGAGCTTTGTCTGCAAATATTTGACTTTGGTGTGAGAGTTTCAGGGTGAAGATTACATGTAAACATATTAGATGAATTATAGTAATACAGTCTGCTCTTACTCAATCCTCCATGGCTCCGTTTAATACAAACTCAAGTATTAGAGTCCTTTCATTGTTCCTTCTGGCAGCTCTGCCTAACTTCTGCCCCAGGTCTGGAATGTTCATCACAGCTGCCTTTGGCAATAAAACCCAAAGCACCTTCAGATCCTCATATTTCTCTTTGCAGCTGGTCAGGTGCAGGGCACAGAGCCCGCTGGCCCCAGGTTTCCCGCGCGCCCTCGCCTATCAGCTTCTCTGCTGCTCACTTGTGTTTCGGCTGCCTCCGCCCTGGGAAGGGTGGAGTTAACTCCTCCAGTGCTTTGCTTTCTGAGTGAGATGGGGTTGTTATAATGGGTGATAAAAAAGTAAGAATGCTATGAAAACACAATTCTAACCTCTTAACAAATGGATGCAGACTCCAAAGGATCTACTCCTAGTAATACAGAAAAGTGCACAGTTGCAATGTTTAAACAATAACAGTATCAAATGAGAAGGAGTTTTCACCTCGCTCAAGGTCGTCATACTTTGAATCACAGTGCAGCTTTGCCTATGCGGAGGCCCCATTCTAGACAGCTCTGTAACGCTGACTCCGAGATCCCCGATCTCACTGGTGTTGACTCTGAGGCTCGCGAGGTTCAGTCTTAAGCCAAGGGCGTCGCAGTTGACGGTGCAAATTCAAGAGCTCACTGGTGGTGGACTCGCCGCTGGTGGTGGACAGTGTAATGGGGCCCCTGCTTGTACAGCTTGGGGCGGAGGGCTCCATTGCCATGGAATGCGGTGAATAGTGGCCTCTGGAAGTGGGCAGTACCAGCGCCCCCTTTCCCTCAGCACACTGAGGTAAATCTTCCTCCAACTTGGGGTGGGGGGGCTTGGCTCCCCAGTGTGAGTATATGTTTGAATAGGAAATGATCTATGGGGTCAGAGTACTCTTTTCACAAAAAGAATTGAAAGGTTTCATTCTGGAAGCCTGGAAGCCTAGGGGTGGCTCAGTCAGCTCCAGGGAGCACCACAAAATGAAAAAAGGTGGGTTTCTGCGGCACAGGACCAGGTCTGTGCCCCCACCGCTGTCTCCTGCCAAAGAGCCCCATAAAATAGCTCTAAAGATTCGAAGGCCACATGTGTCTGAAATCAAATGATGTTGATACTCTGCTGAACATCTCATTTTGCTGTTAAATATAAGCCAAATTAAAAGAGAGTGTTTTAAGAAACACTTAAACTGTTTACAGGCCATGAAAGAACCTTCACAGACATAGCGTCCAACTTTTAGTGTATGTAATTAAGTCCCTTTAATGTTTACACAGATTTGACAAGAACAAAATAATGCATTGTCTGCCTTACCCCAGCCCTCCTGTGAAGCACTGCCACGCTCTTACACTCTAAAACCCGGCAGGGGGCCTTTTCCCTGGACACTGCAGACCTGCTCTGGAAACACTACCTAACCTGTGTATGTTGTCTTCAAGCTGACATTACCGCCCCAGTGACGGCTTTTCCAGAACAGGCGGTATACTGGGCCCCAGTGGCAACGTGTAGCTGGGTGTGTCTCCCAGGAGCACTCACAGGCCTAGAGGCCCTCGGTGGCGAGTTAGTATGCAGGGCTCGGAGGCCAGGCCTGAGGGTTGCTCTCTGCTTTCATCAGTCAGGCTTCCTCATGCACGACATTGGCTACGGCACTGGCGACCTCAGATATGACGATGACCTCTGGAAAAAAAAAAAAGAAAGAAATTTGGAGGAAAGAATGGAGGTTGAATCTAACTTGAAAGGAATGAATTTCAAATAATTACAAAGAGGTGAAGGTGTCCCATCAAATAGAAGACAATGGATGATAGAAGGGTTGGGTAGAGAAGGGACAAGCATTTCCAGCCGAGACGAGAAAGGAAGCTGTAACTCCCAGTGTCGAATGGGTGTGTGCTGAACTAATGGGGGAGGCCAGAGCGATGAGGCAGCAAGACTGAGTTTCTCTCCACTAGGAGCTAATGTGGTTTTGACTCTTGCGTGTCACTGAGATGAGAAAAAAAAACAAAACAAAACAAAAAAAGGAGCAAGGAGGAGGCTGGAATGGGAATGAGGCCTCATTTTAAGCTCCTTTCCGCACTGTGTGGCACAGAGGTGGGAGACAGCAGTCACCTTCCCCTGGGAGTAGTCCTGATGGTCTCTGTCCCGCTCTTGTTTTTAAGTGAGGGACAAAGAAGGCGCGTGAACACACAGGAGGAAGGGTCGGCATGTGAAAGAAGGCTCGGGGGTTGTGTCCTGCACCCGTAGGTTGGCCGTCCTCGGAGAACTTCTCTCAGCCTCAGTGCTTTCTTCATCAAGTGCTGTGCCTCAGAAATGGAAGCTAAGATAACAGCCAGGAGCTGCGCGTTTCCAAACCAATCCTGCGAGCTAGAAACACCTGAACACACTCCACAGACCAGTAAATCCTGCTGTGTTTGAATTAATAGCCCTTAAGAAATGAAGTCCAATCACATCATTAACTCCTTTTTGTAATGTGACATATGAAACAGGAAAACTTCTTTGTAGTGGAAGAATTTTAGAAATACAGGATAGCACTCAACTTACTTTATTGTACCTTTGGAATATAAGAATACTAGAGTTACAAAAATTTGGAAGCTTCATCAAAGTATAAAGAGAGATTCAACTTTTCTGGTTTCAAAGCAAAGTCAACTCTGTATTCTGTGAAAGATCTAAGGAAAATACTTGGCCTAAAATGAACAGATCATGTTCCCAAATTTCTGGGAATTTGTATTTTGAGGCAGTGGTGGTTGTGGTATCAACTTTCTCAAAACATATTTGGCTCAACAAAGTAGATTTCAGTCCACATTTTCTTGGTAAAAAGAAACCTGTCGGTTGTAAATATTGAATAGTCGGGATTTGGATCAAAGCAGACTCCATGTTACGGTGGCGACTCAATCGCTCCTCCCCCAGAGGTACCCAAATGCCGATGAGTTTGAGAGTTACGTGGATCCCAAACTAAATCATCGTCTACTAACACAACTACTTCTCGGGCAAACAAGTCTAGCAGAGATTTGTCAGTGGCATCATTATTTTAGCTATGTCCTCGATTATTTTATAGATTTGCCAAAATAGTCCCATGTGTTTGAGAAGGCAGATATTATGCACTTCATTGTACAAAGTAGGAAAACTTCAAGGGGAGCCCCTCCTTGACCTCCCAGTGGCATGTGTGGGTAGAGCTAGCTCTCCCACCACACTTTATGCCACCTCCTCTGGAATCACTGGTGCATCTGGCCAGATTTACAAGCCAGAAGAACTTTAAGCAAGAACAGGTGAGGGACGGCCCCAGAGCCTGAGGACCACACAGTGTGTTCACTGACTTGACAAAAGGGCCACGGTGGATTTTCCTCTTGAACTCCTGACCCTATTTCCAGCTCATATCACTCCTAGGAATGAAATTACAGTTAGATCAGTATCCCAAGTCGAAGGGCTTCCTCCCCGGGCCACATCTCCTCCGCAAGAGATGCCAGAGTAATCGATGCTGTTGTCATCAAGACGCTACCGGCCTCTCCTGCGCTGTGCTGGGCAGGCCCCCTCCTTTCCCATAGCTGTGGTTTCGGGTCTCTGTTTGTGAAGAAGCACTGCAGGACTCATTAGATGGAGGCAACAGCCTGCGCAGAGTATCCCAAGCCCAGTTGCCAAGCATGAGCTAATTGTAACCCTTCGTTGCATACGAGTCTTAAAAGTGAGCCATTTGACAATGATCCACCTTTCCCGGACAGTGGCGTGTTTGCACTGCAAAATCCTGGGCTTGGTCTTTCAGATGTGTCCTCGAAGCAAATTTTAATTCTATCTTAATAAAATGATGGCTAACAGGAGGGAAGGCGGGGAGCAAGGTGGGAAGAGCAGGTGGCGTGGGGTTGATTCGAAGTTAGTGGAAGGTTATTAGAAGCTGGGGGGTGGGCAGGTGTGGGACCATATATCTAAAGAGGTGTTAAATAGTATTCCTTAAAGCTTTATATAGTGTTGTTAATCTCAATTAATTCATTAAATTATGCATATGATTATTAGAATACTCAACCATCCTTGTTCTTCTTTGACATCTTTAGAGTGATCCAATACAAAGTTGATGTCTTTGTTTGAAAGAAAAGATAGATAGGCTGTACCCTTGCTACTTTGTTTTTAGAAATTTTGTCCAAAACACATTGATAGCAACCTCTACTCCATAAATAAGTTGTCGTCGTTTTTTTGACTTACTTTTTATGCTTACTGGACCAAAATTGCAGTTCCTTTTAATCATAATAGCAGGGGTTACAGATATATTTCTAGTGTCACTCTTCAACTAATTGGTCAAAACTTCATACATGTTAAGATTCCCAGTCTGTGCCTGCTCAGCAGAAAAGGCTGTATCGTTGCTAACAATGGTTGTCAGAGACAAGAGACGGGTGGAGGGCCTGTCCTGTATTTGCCAGCCCTGCGTCGCCAGGAGAAGAATCACCCTTGAAGCCTCTGTCAGTGATGGCCGAGGCACACTGGTCTGCATGAAAAAGAGGCTTAAATTGAACATGAGGCCAGATAATGTTTACCCTTTTACCCTGCAGGTCAACGCATCACGCCAAGAAGCCAAACTGATGGAGGAGTGTGATCTTCTCATTGAGATCATTCAACAAAGAAGACAAATTATTGGAACCAAGATCAAAGAAGGGAAGGTAAGGTTGTAAGGGCAGAAGACATCATTCTCGGGGGCCGGGGAGGGGGGTGTTACTTCACGTTGGCAAGACCTCCAGTTTCCCTCTGTCCTTGGCTTCCTCGTGGATACATCAGTAGTGTTTCTTTGCCAGCGTTTGCTTATTCTGTGTGAAGTGGTGCTGTGCTACAATACAGTGTTGGCTTTTCCAGCTGCCCTCCTTCCTTGACTCCCAGTTTCTTCATCACCTCACTCTGACCTGTCTCCATCTTCAAACTTCACTCCCGACACAAGCTCTCCTGGTTCTCTTTTGTAAGGCCCTTGTAATTATTTTGGAATTACCCAGATAACCCAGGATAGCCTCCCCCAGCTGAAGGTCCTTACTCACACTTGGCAAAAACACTGTCATCATCTAAGGTGACATTTGAAGAATCCCTGGGGTTAGGATGTGAGCTTCTTTGGGGTCCCCTCATCAGCCTGCAGTGACACTCCCCCACTTCCTGGCCAGCATGGCTTCCTCCCCCTGGCTTAGCGTGAACTTGCCAGGGTGAGGGTTCCTCTTATGAGCTAGAGCAATAGAACGAAGCACTAAAGGGGTGTCCCCAAGTTCTAGTCAAGTGGATGCCTGGAGTTTCTTGCTTTGGTGATAAAGAACTTAGTAAAATAGAAAAGCAAAGAGACACAGCTACCCAAGCAAGATCAGCATCTCCATGGGTCTCCAATGGAACAGACTTTCTCTGTGTCCCATGCATAAGCGACACCAGCCAGCACTTGTCTCTCTCCTGCTGAGTCATTGCACCAGGCACCTTCCTCTCCAGGCCACTGCGTTGTCGTAAAGCTGTGATCGCAGCTGGAGACACAGACGTTAGGGTTTGGCCTGGAAGAGACCAAGGCCACCACATCCTCAGCTCCTGTGCATTGCTAGCTCTGGAAGTGTTGCAGGGAAGGGCCTGGAAGTGTCCTGATGTGTGGGAGACTGAAGGCAGGCCCACTGGTTAGTGCCCTGGGCTGTACAGGACTTCTCAGCTCATTGAGCGAGACTGAAAGATATTATGGCCAATGTCTGCCTAGGGATCACGGCTTTTGTAAACTCAGGCTGAGGAGCCAGGAGCAGATCAATTGCTGGCTTAGAGCCTGGTCCTGCACTATTCCTGAGTCCCCTACAAAGCTGAAGCCTCGAAATGCAGATTATACAGGATTTCTGAATGAGGACCCCCCCAAGGGTGTGTGAAGGTGACTCTGAACCCATTAGATAAGGGAAGCTAAGTAAGGAGGGTGAGAGAGAAATATGAATGACTCCTTCCCTATGAAACGGAAACTCAAATCACAACTCCAAAACACAAAGAAATCTTGAATTTCTAAAAACACAGCCAACAAAATCAGTGAATTTCTAAAAACACAGCCAACAACATTATCTCACCCCAGATGAAATTAATTTTATGGGAAAAGATGAAAAATATGCTCAAGAGGATAAATGAAGGAATGGCTTCTATTTTAAAATAGCAAAAAAAAATTGTGAAACTACCAAAGAAAGAAGAGCATGAAATAAGAAAAAAAATAGATTTGAAAATAACAAATAAGCAGTTTGGGAGATAAAAACGTAGACACTTCCTTAATTAGGGAAACATACACTTTCCCCACGACTCAGCCATTCTCTTGTCTACCAACAGAAATGCAAACTGCCATCCTTCGAGACCCATGCATAAAATTCCACAGCAACCTTATTTATAACAACGCCAAACCAGAAAAGGGCCCAACTTTCCATCGGCAGAGAAATGGGTCGGCAGTTTGTGGCCTGCCTCTGCAGCGGACTGTCCTGCATTCCTCTATGAAAAGAACGAAATGTCAATACACACGACAGTGTGGATGAGTGTCACTATAACCATGGGGACGAAAGAAACCAGACACAAAGTAGTACAGGCCCAAGAGTCTGTTCTTGGGAACTCTAGAAATGACACTTTCTAACCATCATAATGACAGAAACCAAATCAGTGTCTGCTTAGGGGTGAGGGGCAGGGAGGGGCGGCGGGAGGAGCAGTGAGGACAAGATCTGCAGGTCTTGACTGCCGTGACTATTTCATGGGTCTTGAAATACGTGAAAACTTAGCAGACTTTCGCTTTAAATCTGTGCAGTTTGTTCCTACATTTCAGTAGAACTGTCTCTAAGACAAGCAGATGGCATATTTATGTGCTGGAACAGTCTTCAGAGATGAAAGTGAGCGACCTAGGGTGATAGTCCTCACACCAGCTAGTCACAGAAAATAAGCAAGTTTTAAAATGATCGGTGTGGGAGGAGAGCGCTATATAAAACTTGATGAACTACAAAGATTCCTGTCTGCTCTTGGACATGTGCACGTAAACATGCTTAGAAGTGACTGACCTTGAATTCAAGAGAGTGTTTTCGTCTGGAGAGGGACATGGCTGGAATTAGGGAGGAAGGAATGCACAGGGCTTCAGTGCTAGCAATAATGTTTTCCTTCCTTTGGAAAACCAGGCAGTAACGTGATGGAAATTTGGAGATTTGGAAAGCTGGGACTGTGGACAGAAAGTTGTTACCTTTAAAACGGTTTTGAAATTGATCACTCTTTAAAGATTATGCCTTTGCCTACGACGCTACCTCAGAAGACAAGATCAGAAAGCAGACGTGGCTGAGGGCATGGGTGCCCAGCCTGGCTTTCTTTGAGTTCGTGCATTGGCACATGGCCAACGACTAGTTGATCCCGGACCCCGAAACCTAAATGACTGAGCTCTTGGCCAGGGCACAGGTGTCAGCTCCATTTCTAAACAAAGAGCATGGGTGCTGACGCCCTGCAAGTCGGAGAAGCTGGCCAGGGAGGGCAGGTGTGAACTTGGTGCCCAGTGAGGGACTTTGATCCCTGCAGCCATAGCAGTTTGCGGACTCTGAATCCAGAGAGGGGACAGTGGGGGGCTTCTGATTGCACTTGGAAGTGGGGAGTGGAGGGAGAACAGGCAGAATCAAGGACACTGCGAAAGTGAATCACATCAGCCGCATGGCTTTGTCGCCGTCTGCCTCTGGTGCCAAGCACATGGCCGATAGACCTGGTGGAAAGAAACAGTCAAATCCTCCATGTGGGGAGTTGCCAAGCAGGCGGTGTTGGCACACACGAGTACGTACTGGTAATTCCTGCTCTCAGGCCATTGTGCATTCTTTGAAATAAGCAGCTAGGCAGCCTTTATGCTTGAACCAACTGAAGAGTCTCAAGCAGGAGACTCCCCAGGAAAGCACTGTCTTCTTTTTTCAGTAGCAGGAGATAAGTGTCGTGTCAACACATGAGATGCCGACAGCAAACTCCAGATTTAGCAAATTATGTGTTTACTGTGCAGGCATAGATCTATGGTCGAAGGCTGAAGCTGCAGAGAATAGGGTCCCTTCTCTTCACTGCTTTTATGTTCTAATAAATGTCTGAAATTTGGGATCACTAACTTGGACTTAACGTTTCAGTTTTTCCATAGCTTGATGGAATTTCTGGGTACAGGCCTCATTGTCAGCTCAGATTCTCCTGTTAATGGCTGACCATTTGTTTGGACACACAATTTTGGGATGGGAATCCTACTTACATGAAATCACGTGTATAGACGCATTTCAAATGCATGCAAAAAAAAATAAAGAGCTACGTTTTGAAGCATGTGGAAGGCATGTTAATAAACAGCAAATAAATTGATATCAGAGGCCTATGTCCCCACTAAAAGGAGATTCTGACACACAGGCTCTTTCCATAGTGCATATGGAGTGAACGCCAAAGCTTACAACATACAATCACACTTCCCTAAGGAAAGAATAGCATCGAGGCCCTCCCTGGTGGCGCAGGGGTTAAAGCACAGCACTAAGAAGCTAAAGCCACGTGCGCATGAGTTCGATCCCCGCCTGCCCCGGAGGTGACCACATGGAGCGGCAGACCTCTCCTGACCCTCCCGCTGCTCCCCTCAGCAGTGGACTTCGTCGATCTGCCTGTTCTGCTCCCCACTCTGTCCCTGGTGAATCCTCTCACCCTCCGTATCTCTGGCCTGTACCCCAGTTCTGTATGAATAAATAAATCTTAAAAAAAAAGAATAACATCGACAGAAACATTTCCCTGCAGCCGTGACCTGCAGATAATCAGTATCTAGTACTTCTTTTAAAATCCTACATTTTATTCATCTGGTCAGAACTTTTGTTTTGCGATAATATTTATTTTTAAAATTTAAATAATTTTTTAAACCCAAGATATCAAAATATTATTTCAAAATCTAATCAATGTAAACATTACTGAACTCGTTAACATTTTTCTGTCCTAGGTATTTGAAATAAATTATTTTTTACACAATTGGAACTAGTCACATTTCAAGTGTTCAGTATTTTAAGGTAATATAAATCAGTGTTTCCTAAAAAAAAAAAATAGTATTTTGCTAACTGCTTAGTGTAGTTAGTGTAGTTGGTTGTATGTCTCGCAGGATGTGTTCTAAATAAGGGCCATCTAGTCAGGGTCATTTGAGTTGCCAGACTTTTCCTATAAAGGGCCAGATAGGGAGTACGTAAGGCCTTGTCATGTAGTCTCTGTTGCATCAGCTCCTCTCTGCCCAGCATGGTGAGAGAGCAGCTGTAAAGGTTCATAAGCAAGTGAATGTGGCAGTGTGCCAATAAAACTTTATTTATACAAACAGGTTGCAGTTAGATGTGGCCCCAGAGACTGTAGTTTGTGAATTCCTAACTTCAAACAGTGTTTTTTTCTCTTTCTTTTACTATAACCTACAGTAAGAAGTATGTATGATATCAAATCCAGCACACACACCCCCACACGCACAAGAAAAATTTTATACAACATTTTTAATATAAAACCCAACTTGTCCTTTCTTTCAAGAATGCATTCTGCAGCTCTTCTCCTCCTATTTGGTTGTTTAAGGTTAATCCTTAACTGTATGACTCACCTGTCACCTGCAGATCCAAAATCATCCTTACTTGTTCAAACACAGTTTCCTGCAGTTCTCTCAACGACAGCTTCTCACCTAGGATATTGGAGAGTAGACACAAGCATCTACAGGTTTTCTTGAAGTAAGGTCCCAGGCTGATTCTTGCATACACCAAGGTTGGGAAACTCCAGCCTCCCTGGTCAATGGAGTTGTACCCTGAACTAAAATGAAACTTATCTCCAACAATTGCTTTGTATGAGTATTCCTGTATTTTCACAGGAGACCTTTTTGGCGTGCCTCAGTTTGCGCATGACTTAGAGCTTCTTTTCTTTTCTCTTCCTCTTATGTCACTTTGAATTTCCAGTATCATGCTAGAAGAGGAGAAAGAAGAAAATGAATTTCAGGCCCCACTACAGTTGCATCTGTGTGGCCACAATCAGGCTGACCCAAAGGATAGTCAACATCTGAAATTATTCTAATGGAATATTTTGACCTTCTTTTTCTTCTGTTAGAATGTGTCAGTCATCTTTGATTCTGCCCTGTAATTTAAAGCATTCTTAAAGTTGTGTATTAAATTTTCCATTCTCTTGATTTACTCTAGGGAGAAGTTAGTTTTCCTTCCTCTGCCAGCTTCTCACGGTTGTTCTGATATCTTAAATTGGGCTCTGTGCCTCTTCATATATTCACGTTAGAAGCAAGAGTCTGTCTGATGTAAACTCAGTGTTACATTATTCAACTAATGAACACAGTTGACCTGCTGTAGATGATCACTGTAACTATCATGAGTTGAGTCTTTCACCAGGCCCAGGGTCACAGACTGTGTGACCAAAGTTTTGACATTGCACTCTCTAACTCTTTACTTGCAAGAATCTGTCTCCCTCGCGCCTCTTGCCGCTACTCAGCTCAGGCCTACTTCCCTTTGTTTGCTGGAATCGGACGTTCCTCAGAGGCCTCAAGTTCTGACATCTCCTTCCTTCCTTTTCTCTGACGGGAGTTGCACAGGGATGATAATGATTTGGAGAAAGAAGGAATTTCTTGGAGTTTGCAGGATTTCTGGAGGGAGCCTGAGCCAGCCTTGTCTGTAAGACAGATTAACTGGCCTCCTCCCTACCCCTTCACCCAGGGCTGTTTTCCATTCCGGAATGATCATGAAGCCGGCCAAGACCTGTCCCAGGCTGTGTGGATGGGCAGCAGGTCCAATTAGTGGTCTAATTTTAACTTGGCTTCTGGCCGGCGGACTGCATCTCACCCAGTTTCAAACACCAGCGCCATCGGTCAAGTGGGCTGCCCTGGACTTATCTGGGCCTGCCCAGAGGTTATGGCCATGTACGTTTCAGGCTCGTTTTCAAGCCAGGCAGAATCAGGAACTGGAATGGAGGTTGGAAGCAAACGTGCATTTTTATTGCCGACCGGGAAACGCTTATCAAAATAGTTCTTAGTTATCAAGTAAGCACAAAGTGCCTGGAAATGGCGTTCCCGGTGAGGGGAATGGCCCAGCTGTGCTTTTTTTGGCTTTCTCTCATCTGCGCAACAGGAAAAATATTAATCAATGGAAAAATGCACCCTTTCTGTTAATTCAACACGAGTTTGAGATAGTGTGGGAAATAGTAATACCTAGTGGCTTCCATCACCATTTTGTTACATGGAGTGCAGAGAACTCTTTCGAAAATGTTTTTCACTTAAGCTGTACATTTGCACTTGTAGAGATACTATATTTTCTTGGTGGCCCAGCTGAGAACCTGAGATAAGGATGAGGTTCAGCAATTGTGTGGAATACTCCAGGGAAGAAGTCTGCTAACCCTCTCTCACTTCCCACTGGCCACCTCGTTCCCATCCACGGGGAAGCAATTCACAAATCAGCGTTTCCTTCTAAAACAAATTAGCAGCACTTCTCCAAGAAGATAAAGGATCATCAAGACAAGGGTGCCTCGGCTGGGGTTTCCATGTTTCAGCCTCTCTCCATACCTGCTCTCTGAACGAACACGTTCATTAAAAAAATGCCTAACAAAAGGCACCCGGCAGGGGCCCAGCGGCTGGCCTCCATGAAACCAGCCTCCTCACACAACCCTCTTTGTTTCTATTGTTCAAGGTGATGAGGCTTCGCAAACTGGCTCAGCAGATTGCAAACTGCAAACAGTGCATCGAGCGCTCCGCCTCGCTCATCGCGCAAGCCGAGCACTCTCTGAAGGAGAACGACCATGCGCGTTTCCTGCAGACCGCCAAGAATATCACTGAGAGGTGAGTGCGGGGGCTGCTGGGAAATTCTCTGGCCTGGGCTGTCTGTCAGGTGGGATTGGTTGGCCAGGGCCTTGCCTAGCTTTTGTTTTCACTTTCGAGGCTGAGTACCAGAGTGAATAGAGGCTTTGAGTTGCTTTGTTCCGGCTAAAGATGCTTCCCTTTGACAAGCCAAAGCCCTTTCAGCAGCAGCCTGGAGTTCAAGGCCTTTGAAACAAGAGTCCCCCAGTTAGAATAAAATCAATCTGGTTTTAGGGGGTGAACAGCTTATGATGGCACAAAAACAGCATTTATTGTGACTCTCAGACCTGATCTTATCTTGCACTTCATAACAAAGAATCAAAATGAAGACAAAAACATAAAAGGGAATCTTTTCTTCCATCGCTGGCTAATCTATTTTTAAAAATCACCAGGTGTTGTTTTCTGTGAGGCCTGCTTTCATCCCGCGTCTCCTGAAAAAGGTCAAGGCTGACTCAAACAGGAGACAGAGGACCAAACTGTCAACCTCAGGCCTCCTTTTAAAACGTCCCCTCGCTCTAGCGTGAGGAGCGTGAGTGATAGGCTTTGCCTGCTCGGCTGGGTAGAGGCACCGACGCGGGCGGTGCCCTCATCCCCGATCGCCTATGGCAATGCCAGCGGAGCCAGGGCTGCCATCCTGCCTAGATGGCGTCTCCAAAGGAGGCCAGCGGTCCCGACTCCATTCATTTGAATTTCCCGGGTCATCTGACCGTTAAGTCCCAGAATGTGTGAACGCTAGAACCCTGGCACGGAAGACCTCCACAGCCCGCGCTAGCTGGTCTTCATCCTTATCTCATCCTCAGATTCCCCTCTGTGCTTCTTTTTAGAGTTATTTATTTATGCACACAGCACTGGGGTTAGGGCCAGGGGTGCGGGGTGGGGGCTGAGAGGATTCTCCAGAGACAGAGTGGGGAACAGCACAGGCAGATCTACTAGAATACACTGCTGAGGGGAGCAGCGGGCGGGTCAGGAGAGGTCTGCACCCTGTGGGTCACTCCGTGGCTGGGGATGGGACTCGAGCTGCAGGGGCTGCGGTAGCTTCATAGTACTGCGCTGTGACCTGTTGCGCCACCAGGGAGGGCCCGATTCCCTTTTATGTTCTTGTCTTCCTTTTGATTCTGTCATTCAATGCAAATAAGAGTTTTCCCATAAAGGGCCAGAGACAGTTTTTTCCCTTTGCAGGTTGGAAGTGTTCGGTCGCCATCCCCTGAGGCCGCCATTGCAGCTCCTCGGTGGGCGCCAGTAAGACAATTTACAGAAACAGGCAACAGGCCAGACTTGGTCTGCCGACTGGATTTTGCTAACTCCCAGCGGCGGGAAAAAAAGTACTATCTTCTAACTTGAATTTCTTCAAGGAAGGAGAAAGAAAACTAACATTTATTGAGTGCTGACTTCTGTTGGACACTGTACTAATTCCAAAAGATCACGGGGAGGGAGGAATTGAAATTTCCATTTCCAGTGTGCTTTCAGTGAGAGTACCATCCAGTATTTTTATAAGTCTGGTCTAGTATCCAGCTATTTCTTGGATTTGACAGAATTTCCGTCTGCGACTGGTTAGATACTTATCTCTTTCAAAGAATGAGGATAACAGCTGGTTAGCATCCTCGTGTATCCTCCGAATGATCTCCTCCCTACTCAAAGAGAAGCCAGTTTCTTCCCTCGTGACTGCGAGACTCCAAGTGTTTCATTGTGCCCACTGCTCTCACGTGGACTCCGTCCAGTCGCCTTATATCCATGCTGAAGTTAAAGCTGCCAACAGCACGAATCGTCAGTGTGTCTAGGACACTGCTGACTAGACGCTGTCTCCACTTAGGGCCTGATTTCCAGCTGGGCCCAGGAGCACGCCCTCCAGCCCTCCAGAACTGGGTGCTATGTTCCTCAGGCTCCCTAAAAATACAGTCAAGTGTGACATGAATACGTTCTCACCTAGAGAAGAGAAAGGGTATTGCCCAGAAAGTTAAGATAGAGCATTCTGGAAAAGTCCTGGCTGTGACGTGTGGCCTAAGCTGGTGGGTGCCCACAGGTGCTTGCCCTCAGAACCAGCAGGTCGTACCTGGCCCCATTCAGCTGAGCTGCTACCGGACATCTCATCAAGAACGGAAGTCTGAATTCTCTTTCCCCAAATGAACCATGTAATGCACTGTATGCGCTCAAGCCTCACACTTATGCAGTTGTGTGGAGTGACTGCAAAAGCATTCCCTGAGTCCAGGCACGAGAAGGTGGGCCCACCGCTTGTGAGGGGTCTTAACTTCCCGCAGCTTTCAATCCGTAGTGTCCACGTACCTTGTCCCTCTATTTCTGCAGCCCCTCTTTCCACCTCCGTGAGTTCTCCTGATTGACCCCTGCACCTTCTGCCTTGCCAGAGCCAGGATGTGGTAGGGCATTTGGGAAATCTCAAGCAGACCAAAGCGAACCAATTTTGTTACTGTGAGAGCTCCCTGGGCTTTGCTGTGCGGTGTGCCTTGCCAAACGCCTGCCCCACAGAGCCCTGTTAGGTGAGGGGCGAGGGGGGCTGGTGCAGGCTTCAGTCCAGCCTCTTCCGCTCTGTGGCAGAAACCTGTGAGCTGTGAGGCTCTAGACCCATTCTAGAAAGCGATTCATGTGTGGCTTGCGACTGAGTGTCGTGATTAGGGGCATCAAAATAGAAGCAGGAACAGGTAGTAACGTGTGGCCTCCCTCTTCGGCGCCAATGGGACACATTGTCCTTCTTTGCCAGAATATTCTAAGAGCTGAGCACGCACGCCCGCACTCACAAGCATGCCCACACACGTGCACTCGCTCTCTCGCCCTCGCGCGCCAAAAAAGCTGAGAAAGTGGAAGAGCACTCAGCACTGGTGGATTTGGGCAGCTTATCTGAAAGGCTCGCGATGGGCAACAGGGATTTCGAGATTAAAACTTGGCCTAAAATGTTGAATTCGGCAGGTGTCCCGTGGCCTGTCATGTCAATTAAGAATTTGAAATTGTCGCCAAAGATAAGTCTCTTTCCTCCCATCAGAAAATGTGTAGGTGTTAAAGCGGCGGTAACGTCCAAAGATGCTTGCTGTCAGTCTCTGCCAGGCGGAGGGACCTGCCGCCTCCCGCCCCCCCCCCCGGGGCCGCCGCCGTGGTCACGGCCTTCCCAACAGCGTTGTTGGGCCAAAGTGGGACTTGGCTTATGGTGGGACGTCTAACTGGGGCGCCGTGGGTCTGAAACCCTGCAGGGCGGGCCTGCAGGAGGTTCCTGCCACCGGACAGGACGTGCCAAGGCAAAACCCTCTTTTCTGAACAGATGAGCGCCACCCCCTTCTTCCCTGCGAGGCCCAAGGGCAGGCAGCGTGAGGTGCCACTTTTGTGGTAGCTCCTTGGCTGCGCCCGGGGCCATCTTGAGAAAATGAATTGGGGCTTTCACTTTGAAGTGTTCCTTTGAGGAGACCGCAGGTACTACGGCAGTTCTCTTATCGGCGTCCACGCCAGCACTGGGGGCTCCCAGGCATCCTTTAAGTACTGTGTAGACACTCGTTCAACACCCCTCGGGCTGCTCTGAAGCTTGTGGCACTTTCGCATGTACAGTCATAAGGAAAGCGTGTCTGAAGCACCATGTGCCCATTTGTGAGAGCTGTGTGACCCACCAGGCTACGGCGCCACCGTCAGCAAGTCTTCAGTTCGGCTCCCCTGGCCGTGAGGTTCAGCGAACAGCTTACACAGTGCAGCTGCCCGCTGCTTCCCGGTGAGAAGGGCGAGCGCTGGATTCAGTCTCCACCCCGCTCCCAGCACCTCCACTTTCGTGTCCAGCGCGCCTCAGCAGGCTCTCATTGTGGGGCCCGGGAGCACCCTGGGGGCACCTTGTTGCTCTTCCTCCCCACCACCCTCCCTTTCCAACACTGAAAATGTGCCAGAAATACGAATTTAGAAACTTTATCCGTGAGGAGGTTGAGCAATTTGCAGGTAGAACTTTTTTCCTTGAGGTGACATGTGTAGGACATCAAATTAGACGTCTAGTATGTGTTAAGTCAGCGGCGTGTTGAACCTTCACAAAGGGCGTGCGAGCTCACCACCCTGCTCCCCTTCTGTAGTCCTGACATCTCCCTGGAGAAGACCATCCCCACAAAGCACGTGCGTTCCCTGGGCTGCCCCACCCCCAGTCTGCTTTCTGTCTCCACGAGTCTGCCTGTCCCGGGCCTTCCTGCCCTGGGAAACACACACCGGGCCCCAGCGCCCGCCTCCTCCCCCGGCCGGTGCTCGGAGATCCATCCTGGCGGTAGCTGGCGCCGCCTTTCATGGTGAATGGGAGAGGTCACCGTGTGGCTGTGCCAGGGAACAGCACACGGACAGTCCAGACAACAGGCTGCATGTGGGGTGGTTGTAACCTGCCTGGGTGTGTCAGGTGACACCTGGGTGAGTTTGCGTAGGACATTGTGGTATCTGCTTAGTGACAAGCTCGCCTAACCACGGATTTCGCGGTGCACGTCCTTGTCATTCATCAGCACTTGCCTGGATTGCCGAGATCTAGTATTTGCAAAATCCCAAACTTTAAGACCAATGAAAGATGCAAGAGGAGATAAATCTCTTGGGGTAGCCAGACTGAAAATTTTCTAGCACAGGCCTGGAATTCGCCTCCTGGCTGTAGCCAGCTAGCTCTGTGGCCTCGTATAAATGGGCATCAGGGCCCTTCATCAGGAAACAAGTAGCTTGATTTAGACTAAATCACTTCAAAGTGTGTCTTCTCTCAGAAATTGCCAGCACCCTACACAGAGACCTACCGGCAGTGGGTCCTCGGCGAGCTGAAGGCGCCAGAATCCCCGAGACACCTCCCGCCACCATGTTCTTGTCTCCAAGAGAATCACTTGCACTTTTTAATTAGTGCAAATAGTCTGCTGCAGTAACGGAGCTCTCCCAATCAAGCTGAGGATGCATCACAGCAGAGTGATACTTGGTAGCACCTGGCCTTATGGTCCATAAATGAGGAAGCCTAAGAGGCGAAACCATGTGTCCACTGGAGGAATTTGCAAGAGAGCTCATGAATATTTTCCATGGCATCTGCTGGGAACATGGTGCAAGAAAATGAATACAAGGAGCATGAAAACGAGCCAGGCAAAAACTCCTTTTTCAATGTTTATTTTAGAGAGAGGCTAGTAATTGATTAAACTAATCCAATATCTGGAAACATTCTTTTTTAATCTTCGCTTTGCCTTTTATGCAGTTTGAAATTTTGGAGACTCCTCTTTGAAGTGCAGAAGGGCCGAGTCAGGAAGGAACGAACAGTTTCCCAGACAGATGTGTGAAGAAACGCCCGCGGCTGCGTGCTTCTCGCTGCGTTAGATGGCCGGGGCCAGGCTTTTAAATGCACAGCACCACGAAATAGGAATATTCTTTTGCCTCCAAGGGGACTTTTTTCCGATAGTAAAAAGGATGGGGATAGCTCCGTCGCTCCCAGCCCCCCTTTTTCCCTCCAGCCCCGTCCACTTGCATCGTATTGACATGGCCCCCTTCTGTGGTGCGTTTTAAGGCTCCCGTAAAACCGTGCTATTTGTTAGTGGCTTTTCTCTTCCTCTTAGTTTTGTCATTCCTGAGGAGTGATGGGGAAGTCCTCTTGACATTTCCAAAACGATGAAGTTTCATCCTGATGTATTTGTTTTAAATTACAGGGTCTCCATGGCAACTGCATCCTCTCAGGTCTTAATTCCTGAAATCAACCTCAACGACACATTTGATACCTTTGCCTTAGACTTTTCTAGAGAGAAGAAACTGCTAGAATGCCTGGATTACCTTACAGGTATTGTCTTTTGCTTTTTCGATAATATGTGTGCATTCGGCGCCACCAGATCAAGTCCCTAAAAACCAGCTTCTGGTTTAGCACTTAGCTAAGCACTTAGGTTTCTGACTTAGCACTCTTTTTCCCGTTGATGCTCCGCCAAAGAACACAGTCCAAGATAAATAGGGGACAGCTTTCATGAGAGGCACACTCAGCACCGTTTCCCTGACTCTCAGAGCATGGGCACAAACAATAGCCCTGTTGGCCAGGAGAGAGATGGGAAGGTAGGCTGGCTCGTTCCCATTTCACGTCAGCAAGACATCTGCTCTCACAGCGCCTGGGCTGAGACAAGATGGCCGCTAACGCTGAGTGGGCGTCTGCCCTGCTCCAGTTCTTTGTACTGTAACCTTTTTTTAATCCTAACAACATCGATTTAGGTCAGGTATTGTCACTCTCACTCTGCAGATGACAGAGTCATCCATCTTGCTGGGGGCCAGAGAGCCCAGCAGGTCCAGAATTAGGATTTGGCTGGGTCTGTACAGACTCACAAGACCTCTGCTCTTTCTAGTAAAAGATAGAGTTTTGCCTTGGCCAAGGTCGCCATGGCAAATGTCCCAACCGTTCTTTTTGGATTTTTGGTTCCTTGGTTCGGCCTTTTGTTTTTTGTTGGGTTTTTGGGGGTCAAGGAGGGGTCAAGCCTGAAAAGCAGAAGCAGCTATCATAAAAGAAAACCGCAGACTTTGCTTTTTCTTTGTTTAGACGAACTTACTGGTGTTAGCCTAAGCCACTGGGCCTGGCAGCTGCGCCGCCAGTGTGCACAGTCCTAGCCCACACAGCCTCCAAGAAGACACACCCCGACCAACGCAGTGCATTCTTGGCTTCTCCACTTAGTTCTCTCCGTGGGAGAGTAGCTGGGGAAGGTGAAGCAGGAGAGAGGGAACGTTGTGTCATGTTTATTCTTACAGTCCGGAGAGAGACAGCAAGGAGTTCTGTATTCAAAGAGCATTGCACTCGGCAGATCATTTTTTATTTCACAAGAACCCCAGCTGCTGTTTTTAGCATTTGCAAGGAGGAGAGTCACCCTGCAAATTTCTTATCTTATGTAATTTTCTCTGTTAAACTATACTACTCCTATTAAGGAAGAAAGAAATCGACTCAGAAGGCACTAACAGTAAGGACCCAAATTTGGTTTCAAATATTTCTGAATATAGCCATCCTCCTTTTTGAAGCTTTTAACGCTGAGACTTATCTGTGCTAACACCACCCAGTACCGTTCGCGACGGTAGAACATTCTATAATGTACTGTCCAGGATGGCAGCTACCTGCTACATGGGACTACTGAAAACTTGAGAGGTGGCGAGTGAGCTTTTACTTTCATTTAGCCTAAATTTCACTGATCTCTGAAGAGCCCCATGTAGCTCACAGCTGCCGAACTAGACAAGCAGGCCTCGGCTTCGTCAGCTGAGCTGCTTTCATGGACTACAACCTATTCAAAATCCTATTGTTTCTGCTCTCATTTGGGGGTGAAGATGGTTGCACAAGAAAAGAATCCCATCAGCAGCCAGCTGAGCCCCCAAGGAGTGTTGCCCAGAGAACAGAGGGTGCGAGCCTGGCCCGGGAGCAGCTGGGGACGGCCTTGAGCCGCAGGCACGTTCTCCACTCCCGCTCTGCTGTGCCACTGCCACATGGTCACACTGTGACGGTGCTGCCTCCACGCACGCGACTCAAGTCCTAGGCCAGGGGAGAGGGCGGCGGGCGGGTCCCAAAAGCTCTGCCAGCCAGTTTGCCTTTGCTCAGAAGACCCAGCCAGCGAACTTCTGCTTGTGTGTCATGGCCAGATGCATATCACACGGCCATGCCGAGGGCAGAGAAGACCGGAAAGCATCTGGTTGGGCACATGGCCCTTCTGCCCAAAGTCAGGGTCTTGTGGACGAGAATGTGTCCTCCCGGCTCCCAAGAGTCGGCGACCAGCGGTTCAGTGACGCCTGGGCGCGCTAGTCTCTGGACCCCAGAGTGCCGAGCCGAGGGCCATCGTGAAAGTAGTTTGGACTGAATGGTGATGTGTACGCCGAGCTGAGGGCCATGTGGGCACCTGCTATTATGCCCTCCTAATTGACAGCCTCAAATACAAATCTGGCCATTTCTAGACATAACATCCACCCTGGCCGTAACGTACGATGCTTGGCTGATACTGCCAAGTCCAAATAGTTTAGCAGACGTTTATAAGCAGGAAGCGGAGTGTTTGTGGAGTTTTAGCCCACCATTCCTTGCATCCTGTTTATGATAGAGGCAAGAAAATAACAGCTCTGGTACCAAGTCCGTGGATATTGAGATTGGCGGCCGGCTGCTCTTCTCGTTTACAATAAATTGGGTATTGGCTTTTCAGGACAAACCCACTGAGTTTACAGTTAGAGCGGGGTTGGCCCGCCCGACTGCGAGAACAAGATTTTTTCCCAGTGACGTGCCTCTAAGTGGTATGTCAAGTTAACTACCCGGAGAGGTGACATTTCCTCCCTGATGGTGGCCACTGCCATGTGTCTCGTAGCTCTATGACTGCTCGGAACATAAGTTTTCTTTGTTTCTTCACATATTGCTGTGCAGAAAAGACAAAATCTTCAGACAATGGTAGCTGGAGGCTCCCAAGCACTGTTGCACTTACAGGAGGATAAGTCTTTCTCCATGCAGGGGTTGCCACACCAACAGCAACCACACAGACAATGATAAGCATGTTTCACGATGTAGCTGGGCCTTCCCCACAGACCGCAGCTCCAGACGGGTGCTGCGGATTCATGCGCACCCAAGTCACAGCACCCGGTGGCAATCTTGCCGTGACATGCCAGGAGACAGATCGCACACATACCCAGGAAGAACGCTCTCGGGCTCTGTGAGCCCTTCTACCTCACTGCACAACCCTCCTGCAGTGGCTGCCATGTTGCACATGCCCAGTCATGTTTATGGAATTCAGCCACCAACAGACAACGCGGAGTTAATTGGTTTTATCCAGCACATACAGAAATGATCCTTGCCCTGGGTATAACTTCAGGTGGTAAAGCAAGGACCTGAAATGATCGATTTTATTTCTTTAATGGAAATTTTATTCTCTTCTGTCGCTTTTTTTATTTTTACTTTTTTTAACTTTTATATATGTTTTTGCATCATTCTTCATGTTTGTACAATGTATGCTTTCTCATGACCAGTTAGTTTTACATGGACCATCCTCATGGTCAATTTCATGGCCAACTTTTCTCCTTTTTTGTCTTTGTGCGGGATTCCTTGTTCCTAATCAAACTTTACAGCAGGACAGAAAGCCAGGGCTGCCACTGATCTGTAGAGTGAGGATATCTTTCTCCTTCTGGAGTTAGGTCCCGGTGCAGAGGAGAGTGGAAGACAGCCTAGATCCGGTCTGTAAACCAGGGCGCGGCAAACGTACTGTGGGAGCCAGACAGCAAACAGCTGAGGTTTCAGGGCATACGGTCACAACTACTCCGCTCTGCTGTTGTACAAAAGTCGCCACAGAAAACACATCAGCGAACGAGCCTGGCTGGATTCCAGTAAAACTTTATTTACAAAACAGGCAGCCGAACCCATTTGGCACCAAGCCAGAGATTGCCAAGCACAGCCCTGCTCTGAAGGCTTGTTGCCGTTGCCACCACGAAACCCCCATCTTTTTCTTGCTCACAGACTCTTCTCATAAAACCAGTTACTGAAATCAATCTAGTAGAAGTCAACTCAAAACCGTTCTTTTAGTAGGATTTGGACTTTTTTCTCCAGAATGTGTTAAAGACATAAAGCAGCCGCCTTCTGTAGCAGTAAATTGAAGCAAATGTCAGGCACCGTGTTTCCCTCAGGGAAGCAAAGGGTCCTCTTACTGCGACTGCTTGTTGCTCGTGTTCCCCTTAGAAATGTCACTTATGTGACTTAGAGAGAGAAAAATGGAGAAAGCTGGGCCACGCTAATGCTTTTTAATCAAGCACCAAACCATCCTCTGAAAGAGTTTTCAGGCAGTACTTGGTTGGTCGTGATGGCATTTTCACGCAAGACCAGTATTTTTCCAGTCGGGTGTCTAAGTATCAAAACACGTGGCATCGTGTAGCTCAGAGTTTGGCAAACTTTGGTTCACAGGCCAAACCTAGACCACCACCTGTTTTTATAACAGTTTTGCTGGAACCTGGCCACGAGCACATGAGGACGAAGTGTCATGGGCTACCACTTTCCAAGCGCAAAGGCAGAGCTGAGTGCAAGAGCCCGCTGCCCTGCGAGCCTGCACCCCTACGAGTGACCCTTACCTTTCAGCCCTCTCCCCAGAGGTTTGCCACCCCCCTGGTGCGGACGAAACTTCCGCAGTTCATCTTCACCGAAATAATGTTTGCTTTTGCCTGGCATGCTGTCCTTGCCACGTCAGAGGGTAGTGTCTGCTGAGCCCTCACTTCTGTGACAAGCAGCCAGGAGACAGTCCCCGAGGCGTGTCCTCCTCTGATGAGTTTCTTGAATCCCGCAGCTCCCAATCCTCCCACGATTCGAGAGGAGCTCTGCACGGCCTCCTATGACACCATCACTGTGCACTGGACGTCGGACGACGAGTTCAGCGTGCTCTCCTACGAGCTGCAGTATACCATCTTCACCGGGCACGCCAACGTCGTCAGTGAGTATCGCACGCAGGCCTGCCTCTGGTGGCGGCTGCCGGGCTTGCCTCTCTGGGTGCAGAGATCAAGGGAAGAGCGGAAGGAACGAGTAGCCACTATTGTTGATTGTCTTCCTAACCAAGAAGATGCTGGCACTTGCTTGCACCTGTTAGCAAAAGTAACGGGCCAAATAGCCATGAAAATGAGTAACTTAACCAGACCATATGGTGAGCCAGACAAGCTTTCTGTGTTGTGTTGGTGTTATTGTTGTATTCCTGAAGTGGCATCGATGTGCATCAGTGTATGTCTCGGTACAGGTTTACACGAACAAATGCGTGGTATTCCCTCCCCACGCCCCCCGCCACCCAAGCCCTAGTCGTCCTTCATGGACCCAGGCAAGCGTATTGTTGCGAGAAAGAAGCAGGGACCCAAGGGTACAGGCGTGACTTAGACGTCAAAACGAGTCATTCTGTTTGGAGATGTTTTAGAGGCCTGAGATCCCTCCATCGAAGTCAGGGTGATGGTCATTGCCAGATGGGGAAGAGGGACCATGAGGAAGAAGTACAGAGGTACATGGGGGCTGGTGGGGTTAACGACACTCTCTGGGTGGGAGTGGCGTGGCTTGGTCATATCACCCATTCAGTGTTGCTACTCTTCTGGGTGCTACTTACAATTCTTTACAAAAAGAAATGGACCCAATAAAACAACCAAAGAATGTCGAATGCTGGTCCCACTCGGAGGGCAGCAGGGTCGTGTCGTGAAGTGTCGTTGATTGTCTCCCAACTAGGAAGAATTTCAGACCGAGTGATGGGAAATGTCCCACAATGCACAGGACAACCCCCACCCCAGCAAAGATTGAGCCAGTCCAAAGCATCAGCTGTGCCGAGGGTGAGAAACCTTTAAAGCAAGAGAAACAAAATAGAATCTAAACAATAGTGGGCGCACATACGCACCCATTTTGGGGGAAGCAGTGCCAGCAGCTCCTTGTGAGAGTTCCTCCTGGCCAGCTGCCTGAGATGATCAAACTGTCCCTGATGTCAGTTCCACGCAGAACAAACCTGAGCGGATGCTGTGCACACTTAAATCCCGAGACTCACTGTGCGAGCTAACCCACACACCATGCTGTACAGCGTGGAAGGCAAAACCAACCAAACAAGTGACTGTCTTAAGGAATCACTTCCTTTGCGTGGCGGGGTGAGCGCTGCTGCGTGCTGGGCCAGCTGGACTAGAGATGGTGTCACACCCTCTCTTGAGGAATGTGAAATGTAATGGGTGGTCGGAAACTCCAAGGCTGTCAGAGCAAGGGGAAGCGGCGTGTGAAGCAGGTGGGGATCAGAGGTGCGATTCACCTCAGAAAGTGAGCTGGGAGGGAGCAGCATGGTGGAAGCCTCCAAAAACACTTCGAGATGGTTCTCTGAAGACACACAGAGGACTGACAGAAGCAATGGCTGGTCATGTGGGTGTTTCATTAAGAGATGCATAAAACCCACTCAGCAGTCCCAACGAAAGGGGGTCTGTTGGTGCCATATGTAAAAAGAAAATCAAAACATTTACAGTTGTTTTATAACTGGAGGATGGTTCTTGGCCCATGCAAGGAATGTTCTATTTCTCTGGAATGATTTTCACTTGATTCAGGAAAAATGCTACCGATGTTGCTGAGCATAATGGCCTAAAGGTTTTCTGCTGTGCTACTCCAGCGAAGGTACATTGTTCCCGGAAGCCAGTTGCCACAAGAAAATAACTGCACACGGCTTCCTGGAGATTATAGACCTGCCTTATTCAAGGCACAGATGCCAGAAAGGCCGATGTCCTGTCCCACGACAGGTGGACACAGAGCACCGCAGCGCTCACCTGCCCAGGGGTGCCCTCGTCAGGAGGCTCAAATCAAGACTGATTGTCTCTTTGGTGTCTACTAAGCCACTTAGTTCTGACGCCTACTGCTCAGACTGGGACCAGGCGGGTGTACGCGTTGACATGAGCACGGCTAAGAGGCACTCATCCTCAACGTATTTTATTCCACGTTAGTGGGCAGCCCAGTCGTAACCGAGGGAGACCTGGGTCTGAGTCGCAGCTCTGGACCTCACTGGCTCTGTTCTTTGGAAGAAACTATTGACTGTCCTGTGAATCTGTCCCGCCCCCACCCTGCCCCCCATAAGAAGAGAGAACATTTCAAGCTCACATGCTCGAGATGATTGCAGTAAAGGCCTCAGACCTGTGTTTGCCACAGTGGTAGCACATAAACATATTATTCCTACAGAAACGTAAGCGGTGCTCACCCATTGCTGTGTTTTCACAGGGCTGATCTTTTCAGTCAGGTGACATGGAGCAATTGTGCAATTTACCGGGATCATCTGCGTGGTAGCATTTTACACCCTCATCATGTGAAAGGCCTGCCTTGAATGTTGCTTGTTCGTTTGTCTTATCATGTGGAAGAACATTCTTTGCAGATGTTATTGGGAATGACAAGATCTAATGATAAACCTAAAATGGAAATCAGAGCACATAATGCTTAAAAGCTGGCTCTTGTTCTGTGTGCTGCCAGGGAATCTTGTACAGTCTCTGGCTTGCGATTCCTTCATTCTTCAGAATAAATTCTTATTCATTCCCTTCAACTGATTTTAGTGAAGGAGAATTGGATAAGACCTCGGGAGCTTTGGCATCTTATAAAATGGCTCTCACTAATCAAAATCACACATTCAAATGCAAAATGCATGCCCTAATTCATTTTTCATTTTTATTAGCAGGCTTATGACTGCGGATGTTAATGAATTACTTCCTAATATGTAGATGCGTATTTAATCTTTCAATGCTTTCCATGATTTTTTCCAAAACTACTTTTAACACATCATTTAAAATCTTAACTCAGGGCCTTTTCCCAGCAGCCTGTTTTATTAGCCAAAGTAAAAGATGCATTTCTTCAAGCCGTCATGGCAAAGTAGTTATCTGTATTTATTCTAGTCATTTTGAAAACAGTCATGAAATTTCTTAAGCATACACTAGTTTTATGGCAAAGAATGAAAAGAATGTTCACTGCTGTCCGGTCTGCTCAAGGACACAGAAGAGGTTAGAAGCCGTGTGCAGAGCCCCCGAAGGGCATCCATGCTGGCAATGTTTGACTGCAGATGACCATTGTTACACATGGCTCCTGCACCCCACGGGTAATTAGGATCCAGTGATGAGCAGCGCCATGTGGCGGCACGGCACGCGTCTGAGCGTGAGGAGTGAGGAAAGGAGGGACAAAATCAGAAAGCTCGGTTTGGTGTTGTTCTGAGCCCACTATCTTCCACGTTCCATTGCTGTTTCAATACTTCAGGCTGTGCTGGAGAAGGTGAATACTGGAACACCCTCACAGATGATTGAAAACAAATTTGAAGAGAAGTCAAGTTTCAGTTGGGACGGTCGTGTGGGTGTTTCATAAAGAGATGAATAAAACCTGGCCAACAGTCCCGACTCTGGGGGTCTTGGGACCGAGTCTGGCGCTGAGGCCATATGCAAAAAGTGGAGTGGCGCTGGCCCCGACTAACACTAGCAATGCACTAATGGGGTACTCCGCGGTACCCCGCCTACTCCAGCCCCCAAAAGAAAATGGTCAACGTTGCTTTCTTGGCATGTTTTCATCCGCTTCTCAGTTAGTGCCCTGGCGGTAACAATGGCCTAAATGTAAGCCCACATGGTTGCTAACACTCAGGAAAGGACATTGTCCCAGTCACGTTTTACTACTCCGTAAGCACTGTTGTTCTTTTAATATTCCAGGAGAACACGAGTGACCACCTCAAAATAGCCAGGTCGTCAGAGTCCCATTTTGGTTGGCAAGGATTTCTGCAACAGTCAGTCCTTTCGCTGTGTTGAGGCTCGGTAGTAGGCCATGCGGCAGTTTCGGCTGTCTGCTCTGTGACGTCACAGGGCTGAGCGCGTCCCCACCACATCAAACCCAGCCTGGGGTTGTACCGTGATGTGGAGTTTATTGAAACATGTTTATATTTGCTTTCTTGGACCACAGTCCTCGTTTTATTGCAACAGATGCAATGAAGCGGGAACAGTAGAAAGCAGCAGCCCTCAGAATTCTCTGGTTCCACAGAGCACCTCCTGCGTTTGAGCCATTACCCGAGGCCTCAGAACGGGAGCTGTTGTTGCGCAGTTACTGGAGTGATAGTATCATCAAATACCCAGAGTGAGTTATAGGCTTCCTGGGGTTCAAAGTGACCCTTCTTGGGCTGCAGCAAAACCTGCTACTTGGCCAGATACTCTCCAGAATCACCGTGTTGGCTCCAGGAATGTGCAAGAAGGTGAGCCCAGAAAGTTCAGAAGGCATAGCAGTGGGGGCAGTCTCCTGTCACGGTGGCGGCTTTCCTGGGTCGCATACAAGTGCGAACGGGGAGAGGAGGGCGGGGCACGGGGCCCCTCTGGAGCCCCAACACCTCCAAACACTCAGCCGTTCCCTGAGCTTCACTTTAGTTCCCTGCTCGGCACAGGCTGCGCCGTCACACCCCGCTCCCCACCCCACCAAGGCAAAAAATGTCCGCAGGTGCAAACGAAAGTGTGCCTGGCACTAGTAGGCGCCGGAGCTGCAAATAGTGAGAGAAATTTTTACCACAACAGGCTACATTTCAGTTCTTCTGGAGGCGAAGTGACTAGGTGCGAGGCTACGCCAGAGCTGGAGAAAGTCTCTGGTAGGACTGGAGACTTCTGGTGGGATGAAGAGCTCCCAATGCCGTGTAAATATGTGTGGGTCCGAGGGTGTGGAGTTCGTTCTATGGAAAGGTCTTATTGGGCTCTCCAAGAAGTGAGAACAAAGAGGAATAAGGGCTAAGGCTGCTTCTGGGAGTGTGGTTAGGTCACGGTCCAGGAGATCCAAAGAACTAACCCTTTGACTTGCAAATCCACTCTGAGGAAAGGAGGGAGATGAGTCTGGAGCCCTCAGGAAGTGGAGGGCCAGGAAACTCACCGCAGGCAGGAAACGCCGTGACAGCACCGTGGCCAGGGGCTGGGAAAAGGTTCTATTAGAACAGAGATTGATGGCTGGAGAGAGGAGAGCAGAACTGGGCCCCATACCAGGACATGTTTCAGCATCGCCAGCTGCAAAGCAAAACCGGCTTCCTTTTCCCTACATGTTCTTCCAAGCATCGTAAATCCGCAGCTCGCTCCCTAACCCACATCCTGCAGACGGCGGCCGGGGCAGCAGCCCACTCCGCTCTGAAAGCAGCTGGGGAGGGGTGCAGCTGCTCGAACCCCTGGGGATGCTTCCCAGCCCCCCCGGAGCCCGCCCGGCAGGGCCGCTGCCCCCTTCTCTCAGGAATGCAGCTCTGAGTCTGCCCACAGGCACAGGGTGCTGGGTGGCCCGGGGGCTGTGCCCTGGCTCTGAGTCTGCCCATGAGCCACAGGGTGCTGGGTCGCTGGAAGGCTGCGCCCCGGGAGCATTTTCTTAGCCCCCCCTGCCGGAAGTTGCTTTGGAGTTGCTGAACCCCCACTGGTCTCCCTCTCAGATCAGCTGGACCCTGGGCCGGCAGTAGAGCTGTTCCCTGGCTCTTGTCCTCTTAGGACCAGCAAACTCTGTGGCATGTTCTTGGCGTGGCAATACCAGGCACAAGGGTGCCACACAGACTCTCAGGCCCTGTCTCGCCCGTTCGTCCATCTGGCTCGTTGTCCTTTGCTCTTCCTGTTGGCCGCAGCCAGTCCTGTGGCCACGTCCAAAGCCAGGTGATGAGGGACTCTGGCCTTCTTAGAGGGGACAATTGCACAGTCATTCAGGCCTGCTCCAGGGGTGAGAGGCAGAATGGAACCTATTTCTTCTACGCTAGTGAAGTCAACCTCTTGCGTATGGCTCTGTGCTCTTCTGACCTTCTGTGAGTCTCGAAATCAGTACTATCTCCTAAGCGCGCGATCCTCACCGTGCAGACTGGGGTACCCCGCAGCTCCTTAGCACGCACCGTGTGCGTCTTCAGTACATGAGATCCCGGACAGAATGGCCATGGCTGCCCTTGTTCCTGACAGAAGCTGCAGTGCAATCCGTTGGAGTGGTTTTTCCATCCGGGCACACAGTTGGAATTATATCTAAACACAGGTTGGCCCACTGCGGCCGCCCTGCCCCAGCACGCAGGGCTCCCGGTGGTCACCCACAGGAGTGGCGGCGCCCACGGCCAGACGGGGCCCGCCGTCGGCGCGTGCTGCCTTGTGCCACACCAAAGAGCTGCAGCGCTTCTGCTTGGCTTTGCAGGCCTGTGCAACTCGGCTGACAGCTGGATGATCGTGCCCAACATCAAACAGAACCACTACACGGTGCACGGTCTGCAGAGCGGCACCAAGTACATCTTCATCGTCAAGGCCATTAACCAGGCGGGCAGCCGCAGCAGCGAGCCGGGGAAGCTGAAGACAAACAGTGAGTGTCTGGGGCCGGGCAGCTGCCCTGCGCCCCCCTCTCTCCCTCTCCTGTGTCTCCTCCGAGCAATAAGAGCCAGCCAGGGGCTGTGGATTTCACTCTTGGCCCCCTGAGGGCTAGGAGGCCATTAACCTCTCTGCATTTCAGACTTCATTTTTAAAATAAATAACCCCAGAGGGGTCCTGGTGGGACTCAGAATATTTATGTTAGCAAGTTATATACAAGTGTTGGCAAGCTTTTTCTGTAATGAGCCAAATAGTAAATATTTGGGGCTGTACAGGTCATGTGGTCCTGGTCACAGTTACTCAGCGCTGTCATTGTAGTGCACAGCTGGCCCCAGATAACACATAAACGCATGGGCGTGATGGCGTTTCAACACAACTTTATCAATAGACGGCCAGTAGGCTGGATTCGATCGACAGGCTGTAATTCGACAATCCCCCATGTGTACAGATACTACAGTGAGTTCATTTACTTTAGTAAACAACGATTGCGTCCCTTGAACTAATTTGTCCTTGTTGAAGCAAGAGCCTTGAACTTGGGGAGAGTGGGTGGTGAGTGGTTTACTTGAGAACTGCTTTGGGGTGCTGGTGGATTTCTTACTGAGGATGCAGGAGCTTGGGCTGACTCCGTGTGTGCTTGGGTGAGGGTCTGCAGTGAGGCAAGCCGGATGTAGCCCACCGTGCTGAGGCCCAGCTTTCTGGGGGCTCTAGGAAGCCCTCCCAGCCTGCCACCTTGATAGTCTTCACAGGAAGAGTGGCAGGCAGAGGCCAGCCTTCAGCTTCAACGTTAGAAATGCTAACGAGAGAGAGAGAGAGAGAATTTCTTACTAATCTTTCTACTAGTGTCCAGTTATTTTTACACAATTCTCTCTCCCCCCTTTAAAGATTGAAATATCTTAAGCAAAACTGATTTTATATACCTCTTACCTTAGTTCATACTTTAACCCTGCTTGTTTCTGGCAAGATCATTCCTGAAGGCTTTTTTTTACAAGACAAGTCAAGATTTATAGAGAAGTAAAGTTTATTACATTTGAAACAATAGAGCAGGAGTCTTAAGAATGCTTGCTCATTAAGTATAGTTTAATTCTTATAAATCTCCTTTTGAAAATGCAATTTATATGTGTTGCAACCTCAGAAGTTTAAATGACAAGCCCAAATTACGCTACACTTTGTCATCCAGTAAGTGTCAAAGAAAAGCCACTCCCTGCACCCACAGCAGAGCTGGCTGCGTGGAGCTCTCAACCAGGCTGTGCGCTGCCACCGTGGAACGCGCCGCACTCTTTCCCGTGATTGTCTGAAAGCTGAGTACTGGGCAGAGTACCCCAGTGGCCAGGCCTTGGAAACCACGGTGTTTGCGTCAGCCCGTAACTCATCTCCTGCCTCTAGCTGCCTTGGGCCCACTGCGATGCTGAGTGATAGACAGCCCTCGAAACTAAGGGTGTATTGTCAAAGAAGTCACAGCCGTGACAAGACGCTCAGCCGTCTCTGCCCACACTTGATGATGGCTAACTCTTCAAAATACCAATGTGCATAATGAAAGAGGGCCCCCCGTTGTATATACATAAACGAGCCGGGGAGGACGATCACATTCACCCCCGATTTCGCAGGCTGAAATACACACTTTTCCAGACATTCTAAGCTCACATGAGTATGCTTGCTTTTGAACAGTATCAGAATAGTGTAAGCCTTTAGACTCCGCAGTGTATGAAAATCCACGAGCTTGATTTGTTGGCATTCTGGTCTGAAGTCTATTTGTAACAGGGCACCCCAGTGTGAACTGGGCCGCCTGTCTGTGGGGCCTCATCCCTACACTTAAAATTCAGTTGCACTGCAGGCACACACAAAAGGGTCAATAATAGGTTTATTTACAAAAGGGGAAAGGAAAAGGAGCAACCCAGGGAAAGAGAGATACAAAATAACTGGAATATCTTACCGACTCAGCTGGCTTGGAGCTCTGTTAACAAACTAACTGAAAGCCCCGAGTCACGTGGTCCTGAGAGCCATTTTCCCGAGCGAGACAGAGACCATTAGACAAAATGGCTCCCTATTTATCCCCCAAAGTCCCAGAATGCTGCTTAGCTCCGCCCTTGGGTCCTCACAGTTCTCTCCCTGGAACTGCTGGGAGTTGTAGTTTCCAATCACTGGAGTAGGGGATGGAGTCCACAAAACTCTGCAGACTTCCTTAGGACATCCCTCCCCTTAACATATTGAGTATGAACACATTTGAAGTTGGATTGAACATGAAAATGGTTGAAAATTCAGCCTTCATTTTCCTCTCCCTTTTGGGATGCTCTTCAACCAGCATGTATCTGTGCCATGTGTGCACAGCCAGGATCCATGAGGATAATTTAAGCCATAGGTCCTAGTTACCCCTCGCCCATGCCATGTTAGCATAGCTTCTCCGGACCCCTATCTTAGAGCTGACAGGTAGGAGCACATCTAGTCAAGGACATGTTCATACTTGGTGTCACTGTGCTTTTCAACTCCAATTCTGAAAAATTGGTCATGTTAAATTTAGCAAAGTTGTTTCTCTTCCTTTTTGTGTTTCATATATTTGTTTCAGGCCAGCCATTTAAACTGGACCCCAAATCTGCACATCGAAAGCTGAAAGTGTCCCATGATAACTTGACAGTTGAGCGCGATGAGTCATCATCCAAGAAGAGCCACACGCCTGAGCGCTTCACCAGCCAAGGGAGCTACGGAGTAGCTGGAAACGTGTTTATTGATAGTGGCCGGCACTACTGGGAAGTGGTCATCAGCGGAAGCACATGGTAGGCAATTATATGATACATTACATATTATGAACAGGCACATCTCACTCTGTGCTTTGTCAGAGCATCAGCCCATTCCAGGATCTTGAAAATTACATGCAGAAATGTTTTCTCAGTCAGCGACTGCTACAGAGTGCTGCATAACAGCCAGCCCTGAAATCAGTGGAGATTTCCAACAGCAGTCGCTGCTCACCACCCACACCTGATCTGGGCGTTAGCTGATCAAACCCAACATCAGTGGGCTTGGCTTTAGGTTGTTCCGTTGTGTCTCTTCGTCCTTTGTGAACTTGTTGGGCTCTTTCGTGCTTTAAAACACGTGTCAGCAGGCCACGGCCCTGGGTCAAGTTGCCCCTAGCTGCTACTGTAAATAAACTTGCTAGAACACAGGGCGTGCCCATTGTTTTCCATGCTGGCAGTGGCTGCCTTTGCGTCATGCAGCAGAGAGTGAGTCCAAATAGAATCCTATGGTGCATAAGTGCAAAAATAATAACTCCCTGGGCCTTTTTATAGAAACAGTTGGCTGCTTCCTACTCTAAAGCATTGCACTTTGCTATTCACAGAAGCTCCTCTCTGTTGCTTCGTACATTTTGTGATTCCAGACTGGGCCAATGACTGAAAATAGCCAAGAACTGAAGGGTGGGGAACGAGAATCATAGGCCGAGCGTCATTTCGAAAGGTCTGTTACTCCCGCCAGTCACTGGAGCCCACTGAACTGACTCAGCCTAAGGGCGAAGGTCAGGGTGCACAGCCCTAGAATCAGTTAAGCTTACCAAGTTGGCGGCACAGAGGTGCTCTTTGCCTGTTGCACAGTCACACGCTGCACCTTGCACTGTCTCCAGTGCCTGCTTGTGGGTGTCAATGAGGGAGCCATGTTATCTGTACATAACAAGCCTTCGGCTGGTCGCTCTATTCCAGGCACTGGCCCAGGCGTTTTGTACGTGGTAACTGACACATTCACCCACAGCCCTGCCAAAGAGGTGCCAGTGACCCACTTTACAGGTGAGGTGACTGAGGCGTATGTCCAGGGTCACGAAGCACGCAGCCACAGAGTTAGGAAGCCAGCAGTCAGGATGCCAGTCCTTGTGAAGTGGAGGGCCGAGGTGCTGGGTTTGCAGGCCAGATGATTTTCACCACAGCCACGGGCGGATACAGCCGCAGTGCCCAGCAGCAGGGTGCTGTGCTCGGAGGAAAGTTCATTTATAAGGACAAGCAGCGGGCTGGGTTTGGCCCCGGGCCGTGGCTTGTTGATGCCTGTTCTTAAGCACCACATTGTATCTTCTAGAACTCAGATTAGAATTTCTCTGTAGGGTGACAGTGCTATGTTTAATGAGTGGTCGCTTGCTCCTGGCTTTCAAAAGAAAACCAGATTTTTGTTTTAATCTTTTCACTTCAAATCTGTGTCTATGATGCATTTATTGGGATCAAGCCTTTAGACAGCTGACATCAGTAGTGAAGTCAGAAGCCCGGGTGTCTTCTTGCTCCCAGGCCTGACCCCCGCATGCCCGCGCAAGTCGGTGGTTAGTTTACCTCACAGCCCGGCACGTTCTCTGCTCAGCAGCCAGAGGGCTGCAACGGCGCTGGTTAATGAGCTCGTGGGTCACTGTGGGCAGAACCCAGCCTCTGAGCCCTTAGTCACCGCGTGATACGTGATACCTGTTAACTCTGACTCATCCCCCTCGACGAGTGCGGGGAAACTGCACAGCCCCCTCGGTTACCTCAGCACAGAGCGGCGCGGCCTTGCCTGCGCCCGCCAGAGGTTAGAGCACGTTCTAGACTTAGCTGCCACGCTTGGGCTCTTGGCAGACCCAATCTCACGCACTGCAGAAAAGCCTTCCCCAGAAAGGCGCTCGCCGCGCTGGGGGCCGCCCTGCCATGCGATGCGCAACACCTGCATTTGTGGCAGCGACTGACACGTGTATGTCCCGGTGACATATGCGGTCCTGACTTTCAGTTAACATGCGTGTTATGATCCGTGCGATGGGGTGTGTTGCCACTGCTCTGAGAAACATGATTTTTACCCTGCTTGAATTCTCCGAGTCGCGCAGCGCAGCTTAATGGAACATTACCTCTTTCAAGTTCAGTGGAAATATGTACATACTTCTCCAGATTAATGATAATATAATGGTGTTTTCCTTTGCTTAATGGACTAGACTCCACTTATTTTCTTACTCTTTAATGCCGTTAATGTGCACTCGGTGTTTTATGAAATGGTGTTAACGAAACGTGGGTTCACACGGAGATTACTAGGCCAAAAGTCAAGAGGGAGGAGGCGAGATTCTGGATGGCGCCCCGAATTGTAGCCTTCTCTGTGCTTTCCCATTGACTAAGTGAAGTCAGTGTACCTGCAGCAGCTACTTCCGAGGGGGTTCAGCTAAGGTTCAAATGGGAAATAAATGTCAGAGTCCTTTAATAAAGAAGAAGGATGGTGCGCAGCCCCAGAAGGAAACAAAGCAGCCACAGGGCGACTTTGTAATGCAAATGCAGCTTGCAAATCCCCTGAGTAACTGGCCCACAGAGAGAAGGTCTGGCGAAGCCTGTAAACTGAACCTGTCCCCAGGTGTCCCTTAGGGTTTGGGGGAGACCAGAAGCCAGCTAGGTGTACCTCCAGGGAAGGGAAGCAGAGGCCCTGGCACCCTGGAAGGGGGTGACTGCCAGTTGGGGAGCCGCAAGGGCCCGGGGGTGCCTGAGAGGCCACAGCCTCCCCCCACACACAACGACCCCAGTGCCCTCCGTTGTCCAGAAAAGAGCTCTCCTCCACGTAGAACCAGGGGTCTCGTGCTGGGGGTCGTGGTGATAGAACCTGGGCCGACTGCCCCTGGAAAGCGCTTCTGGAAAACGCCACCCACTGGCTCCTGGTGACTGGCCAGGCTGACCAGCCTGGAAGGCGGACGCTGGGTTATGGATTCCATCGTCCTTGAAGTCAGCGATTCACATCATGCTCATCTACTGTTGGAACAAGTCACCTTCAAAGTGATTGTATTTCAAGTCCAACACTTGATTTTTTTAAAAAATAATATCACTTTATCAAAGACCAATCAAGTTTTGTCTTGGCGTTGAAAGTTGAACGCTGACTCATTTGCTTTTTAGTAAGAGTACTGGGTCTTGCTTCTCTTAGTAACTGTAAAATACTACAGTATTCCAGAGACATAGCTCAGCAGGGTAAAGACACTAGGCAGCTTAGAACATTGTAGAAAGAATTTATAACATGTCATTTTTGATCGATGAGCGAACATTTAGAATAACCAAACTCTCCATCTGCTCAAAGGATTCAGATTTTTTTTTTAAAAAATGGGGTGGGAAATATAATCGGGAAGATTCTTAGCAGTGATGAATTCTGTGATGTCCAGGCAGGAGAGATGGCATTAGAGAGTGTAGTTTAAATCGTGGCCTTTGAGTCGTCCTAGATTCAAATTCTGTGATACTGACTAGTAATGTGTCATCAGGCAGAAATTTTAAAATAACAGTTACCGAATAGCCTTGTCCAGGCTTGTGCCCAAACTTTTCCATGTCTCACTGCTCCACGTAACCCTTAGAGATGCCACTGTCATTATCCCTGAGGAAACTGAGGCTGGGTGATGACACGGAATGTAACCCCCTGAAGGGAAATCATTCTCCACACCTGGCTTTTCACAAAGTGCATGTTAAGTTGTGAAACTCACATGGCGTCAACTGAAAATTTTCCAAGAAGGTCAAGAAGAACACTCCAGGGCTGTGCGGTCCCGTCTGGTAGGCACATTCCCCAGCCCCAGCGCTCACAGCTCAAGGGCCCAGTGGCCACCTGTGGCTCGTGGCTCCCGTATTGAGCAGGGTGGGATATTTCAGCCACTGCACAGTGACCGCTGGAGCCCCGGCCCAGGCGTCTAGCGAATGCATTATGTAGCTCTTCGTGGGGGTCAAGAGAAACCAAGGCAGCAAAGCTCAGAGTTGAACTCTCCCGTAAAAGCTCAGGTGCAGCCAGAAGTGCAGTCGGTGCAGGGGTCCCTCGCACCGGCTATCCGGAGGGGAGGGAGACGACCCCCACGCAGTCAGGGTCCTTGCCAGGTCCTCGCTTCGGGCGGTAAGCGGTTAGCAGGGGCCCGGGGGCCCGTTTCCATGGTCCCGGCCACGCGGCTCACGGCTGCTGCTGCTCTGTGCCCGCAGGTACGCCATCGGCCTCGCCTACAAGTCAGCCCCGAAGCACGAGTGGGTCGGGAAGAACTCGGCTTCCTGGGCACTGTGCCGCTGCCACAATAACTGGGTGGTGAGACACAACAGCAAGGAGGTGCCCATCGAGCCGGCCCCGCACCTGCGGCGCGTCGGCATCCTGCTGGACTATGACAACGGCTCCGTCGCCTTCTACGACGCTTTAAACTCCACCCACCTGTACACCTTCGACGTCGCCTTCTCGCAGCCCGTCTGCCCCACCTTCACCGTGTGGAACAAGTGTCTGACCATTATAACCGGCCTTCCGATCCCAGACCACCTGGACTGCACGGAGCAGCTGCCCTGAGCTCCTGGCCAGCGGCGCCTCTGTCTGGGGAACAGCAGGGGTTGTGGCCACCACCGGGGGGCAGAGACCGCACAAGCGTCCAGAGTGTGATCAAATCTCGCCAAAAAGCACCCAGGCACAGGCTAAGATAGGACTCGGATCTGGCGCCCCCCACTGTGTGTGGTATGAAGTGCAGGCTTTAATCATTTCTTTAAATGTGTTTGTATTTACAGGAAAGGTTACCGATTATTTATAAAAGAAACCTAACCAGCATACCAAGTCTTGGGAATTCTTTGCTTTTGCACAGCTACAGGCCCACGAGTTTCCCAGCCCTCCGCTGCCTTTATTTCATCACAGTCTACGATGAGAAGAAGACTCGGAGTTTCCGTCAGCCCGTCCACCTTCTCCCCTCATGCTGTCTCCTTCTGACCTCTTCGCAGGGCACAACAGAACACGCAACTATCTTAAAAATGAAAAATAGTTCCCCCCTCCTAGGAAGGTAGACAGGCTTCTTACTCTGAAGTATTTTAACTGTGATGTCAGAAACTTGCATGGGGTCATCTAGAATGGAAAGCAAAAGAAAACAATGGAAAGAACTGACTCTGGAGCTTGCCACTGGCCACGGCCAGAATGCCCCTGCGGGCTGCGGCGTAACATAGGAAAGAAGGGTCTGCGACCTCGGCCGTCGTTTGCCCTGCTTTTCCCGGGATGAAGGCCAGTGCGGGAACAGAAGAAGGAAATTGCAATTGCAAATGGTCGCCGGATCCTACCCAGTCTTCAGGAATTCAGACTGACTTGTGTTTTATCAGAGGTGGGATTCCGCCCCATGACATGAAGTCTCTTTCATTCTCCCTTTGAACGGTTTCTTTAGGCCTGTGACATTTCTTCGCTGCATTTACTAGTTGTCTGATTCCCCTCCCCACACCGCTTCTCTTGTTTCTGGAGATGAGGAAGTTAAGTGTTTTCTGTCATTATGGGCAGCACCGCTTTCCATCACTTCTGCGCCCCAGGATATCAACACGTGGGCGACAAACACCACATCCAAACGTAAGTCGCCCCAAACAATTCAAATTTATGAGTCGGTAACGTAGGGGGCGTTGCCTGACCCACTCACGTTCATGCCTCGACAGTCGCACACAGACCTTTATGAAGCACATCCTGAAAGACGTAGAAGCCCCTTTTATTCTAGCACAGTCTAGCATAGAGTTGTAAGACGAAAACACCAAGCTCCTTCCTACACTGGAACCTGCCGATGGAACGTCCGGCGGGGGATGGGGCCTGGCCCGGGGCCTCGCCTGACCTGGACGGGAGGCATGATGTCTGTCAGCATCTCGTGTGCTCAAACAGCACCTGGGCTACGGGGCCTGCCCTCTTGGCTGGACAGACTGCTGGACTTAAACTTTCTTTTCAGTTGTTTTGTTTTTAACCAAATCAGCTGTCGCCCCGAAACCCGTCTGCCAACCCCTGGTGTCAGCCTCACCCCCAGGGAGGGCAAGTCAGGACTTCATGGGCGGCTCCGTCCTCTCCACAGGCAGGCGCTCTGCTTTTTCTTAACAGATAGATTCTATATATTTACTATATTATTTATACCCAGATGAATATTTTGATAGCTACTTAGGACAGTTTCACATGGAAAAGATGGACACCTCAATGGGAAAAAAGTATCATAGCCTGGAAACTTAATGGGATCTTTTTTTTAACAATATGGAAACAATGTGTGTTTTGCCTTCCTGAATAAACTGCAGTTGTCTCAGTCATTTTTACAGACTGTTTTCGGTAGCTGGATAACATATTTTAATGCACTTTGTACTCTGACAGGTTTTAAATAAAAGGGTCTAAAACTCAGCTCCTGAGTTTTTTAAAATCACGGTCTCCAGGCACCGGTAAGTGCTCCAGTTTGCCTTACGATGTTAATGAAAGCATTTATGATGACATATTTCCGTACATAGTTTTTCAATATAAAGAAGTTACTGGTCCAGTTTTCACTGCAAGCCATTTCGGATCTGCTTGGGCTATTTTTATAAGGACGAGAGGGACTGTCATGTTATGATTTTGTCGTGGAGGTCTCACTCTCACTCTCTGCTAATAACTTAAAAACATTGTGGATCGTGGCGGCAACTAGCTCCACAGCGTCCTTCTCGTGGGAATGTGCGTCTGTGGTGAAAGGCCGCAGTGTTCACTTTTCTTACTGTAACGATGTAGAAAAGAGTTCTGTGTGGATTTTTTTTTTTTTTGAAAGTGTGAAAAATATATGCTCTAATCATTTGCTGCCGTACAGTTCTTTCCATGAGCAGGGTCACAGTATTTTGGTTTTGAGGTCCTTACTTCATGGGAACACTGTGATTCAGGAAAGAAAGAGATGGCGGTGTCGGCGCAACGAACCCAACAGCACACATGTAGTGCCGGCCGGGCCGCAGGAGCGACATCGTGGCTGTGTGGACGGTGCCGTTGCCCCTGGGGCTCCTGGGGACACCCCACCCCCGGCACTCAGGCGAATGCTCTGCTGCCGCCATCTTGAAATTCTTACTCACCTTGGAACAAAGGGCCTGCATTTTCGTTTTGCACTGGGCCACACCAGTTATGAAACCAGTCCTCATAACAAGACTCAGAAACATGGTACCTCTCTGGCCTGGCCGCAGAGGAGGAAACCTGGATCCAGTGTGGCCACGTCACGCAAGTAGGCATCCGAGTGGGCTGAGACGAGAGTGGGCCCCGGGTGATTTTCTCTCCAGCTTTAAAAGAAAATGACTTCAAAAACTGACGACAAATATTGATGATCGTTTTGGCTGGTGAAGAGGCAGTGGCCTGAATGACAAACAGGCGTTTTAGTCCACACTGATTGCTTGACCGTAAATTTCTTGGGGCAGCAGCGGGCATGGGAGGATGTCTTTTAAGTGGTGCTTCCCAACGGGGAGTGGTCTGATAATGTCGGTGGTCGCGTTTGGTTGTCCCAACGTGGGGCAGGGCATGGGTGCCGCTGGGCCTCCTGCTCCCAGCACAGCCCCGCCCCCAAGCAAAGGACCCTCCGGCCCCAAACAGCAATAGCGCCGCGGTGAAGAGACACTTGTTCTTTGGTGTCTTGTGTTGTTTTTTAAAAGAAAAACAAAGTCTCACAAATGTCTTTTACTTTCCTGTGGCTGGTGTAATGTGTGATATTTTAAGGGGAGACACCAATTCAAAACCTTCACTGGTAGAAATCTTTGCAAAATTGTTGTCAAAGTCTGAGAAGCATCCAAGCCTGTGTAAAGGGGAATCCACTGGGAATTGTCATGAAGCTTTGGGTGTGATCTGTTCGTTGGATATGAAAAGTTGGTTCTCTTTCTGACTCTCCTTTCACCCGAACAAATTCAGTCGCTCGTACTTGAGTCACGCTGCCCAGCCCTCGGCCCAGACTAGACTCCCGGTTGCTGTTCCTTTCTGGTTCTTAATAAAATCATTTTTTGTGGTTCCAAGACGCTCAGTCTCTGCCTGTCTCTCTCGCCTTTCCATGATTTCAACAACTATGTATTCAACTTGCTTTGCATGCTACTACAAACCATAGCTCTTTTTGATGCCCCAAATTTTCTCCCACCCACCATCCCGCCTCTCCCATTCATAATTGCAATTTACAAGCCTAAAATGGTCCCAGGGAACTTTAAAGTGCCATCAACGAAGACCTGCACAGGAGTGGCACTCAGGAGCAAGACAGGCGTCTTAGCCGGGTGCGTCGAGGGGAGCCCACAGGTGGGTGAGCTGAAGAGTGAGATTTTGCAGTGTGGCCTGGAACAATCCCAGCAGTCGGTCCATAAATCTGTCCCGAAGCCCGTCAACCGGCTCCCAGGCCTTGACGTTGTCTCGTTAGAGACGCAAGCCCTCTCAGTGCAGGGCAGCGCGCTGCCAAGGGCAGCAATACCACCTGCCACTTGTTAGAGATGCCAGCTCGCCAGGCCCGCCCCGCCCGCCTGTCAGGCGCTCAGGCCCCCCGGCCCCACTCCAGGGGATTCTGGTACTGGTGGAAGTCTGTGGAGTCTGCTCTGAGGGGCTTCAGCCAGTCTCACGGCCCATGTGAAAACGCAGGTACAGCCTGAAATGTGTTTTCAGGGCAACAGGCTTAAGGGAGGGCAATGCGGAGATTCTCAATCTGGCTGGCCGTGAGTCACCGTCTCTACTAATGCTGGCTGCTGGGTCCCACCCTGAAAGATTGGGGATCAGAAGGCCTAGAGGGCGCCACAGAGCACCCGCCACTTTCCGGGGAAGTGATTCTAATGAGGGGGCTGGACAGCGGCTAGGCTCACAGGACTCTGCACCTTTCCTGTCAAAGTCCAGTGACTGGGGGCTTGCAGGCCACATGGTCCCTGCGGCGACGCTTGCGCCACCCTGCGGCGACGGGCGGAAGCAGTCGTGGCTGCGAGGCTGTGCCAGGCCGCTGTCCTTGCAAACGCGGGAGGCCGCACTCAGCCTGCGTTGGCATTTGCCAGCTCCCGCGGAGTGGGCAGACCAGGCCTGGCGGCGGACGCCCCGGCACTCTCCAGCGCCCCTCACCTGCTGAGACTCAGCCACGCCCCCTCAGGACTTGACATCGCGGAGCTCTCACGTCCTTTCCAACTTTGAATGACATCAGTGCTGCGAAACCACAGAAACCATGGAGGTTCAGCCACAGAGTGCTTAAGGCAGGGCCCTCGAGAAGTTTCTTTCATGCAACAGGGTAGGATGTGCCAATTCTAATGATTAGCTCTGCCTTCCTAGTTTTGACCTAACACAGCCCTTCTCGCCAGTGGCAGGTGTGTGAAATAGGTTCCCTTTGATAGGAGTTTTGAAAAACATTCAAGCTGAACTTTTGAAACGGAGCAGACTGCTATAACTAATCGCCTTTCTAAAGAACTTGAAGGGCCCATCTCAGAGTTGCTGAGTAATAGTCCACCCCTCTTTTCTCTAATTATTTTCAAAAATATACAAGTGAAATGTGCAGGAGAAGGTCAGCTAGAGATTATAGTATGAGCCGAAGCAGGAGCACATGTGGAACTCGCAAAGTCCTTTTCCCTCGAGAATCCTGTTCAGTGGGGGATGCACAGTCAAGGATGTAAACTGCAAATGGGGTCAAGGATGCATGCAGAAACCTTTCTTGCCATGGTCCTGTCTTAATGTGGGTGATTTATGGAAAGGAATTCAGGTTCCCTTTGGGTCTTTTCCAGTCATGTTCTCCTAAGAGA